CGACACTCATAGCTTAGCACTGAATTGCTTCTGCTGCATCTTAAGCGATTTAGGGATAGAGTCTGCAAGAGAAGAAAGCTCACTAATCAGTTTCCACGACAACACAGTAGACACAAAAGACAGGAAATGGGTTGAGTCTATAGACACCCAAATCCCATGCCCAGTAAGGAATCTAGAAAGGTTTCTCCTACAAAAGCTTCTATAAACTCCCCAAAGAAAGCCACAAAGGAGAGACAATTGTTCAAAGATACCATCCTATCTGGGAACTTCTTTTTTAATGTTAAGCAAGTTTATTAAAAATAATGCTAACGTGATTCCGGGGTACACTGATTCCAAGAGACCACTTATCAACTAAATAACAATGGTGAACTTAACTACAGAATCAAATAACAGAGGAAAAAGACCAGACTAATACTACAGGGACCTTCATCTTCCCTAAACTTCTGTCCAGCCGGCAGCCCTCGGCAAAGCTGGTCTCTAGAGGGTTAATCTGGGCTAAACCTGATGTTTGCAAGGAGTTCCTCATGCACCTGCTAAGGCTCCAAAAAGGCAGGAGACAGAAAAAAAGTAGGAACAGTGTCCTACACTGTTCCAGTTGTTACAAATGATTAAAGGCCAGTTAAAGATTTTCACGTTCACTGTTTCAAAATGCTAGTTTTAAAAAAAGGTCACCAGCAACATATGTAGTTTCTCTAAGCAGCTCTTAAACCTGAACGCTCAGTGTAAAAACACTCTTGGGAAAACCAGAGAGAGAGCAAGAGGGGAACAGATGGTGTGTAGCAGATGCTGGCACTGCTGAGGGCCTGTGGATGCCAGCTGTGTCAACACTAAATCCCCCAATAAGGCATCAAGTGTTGGGACTCCTTCTCACAAACGTCTGGAATGATGTCGTAGAGTGTTTGTACTGTCTTAACCATAGACTTCTCAAAGAGCTGGCTCTCATAGTCTATCAGCTGCTCCAGAACCTCAGGTTGGGCCTGATGACAGGCCTTGGGCAGGCATAAATTATGGAATTTCACAGAGGGTGGGCCCAAGACAGCCCCATACTTCTTGCTTACACTATGGATCTTGTCAGCCACAACGTCAAAGTACAGCCTAATGTGGGGATGAGGAATGTCAGCCAGAGGCACTTTAACATATTCAAACTGGGGCCAGTTGAAGTTGGGGCACTGACAATGCAGGTGATGCCATGGGTGTGGAGGTGATACCACAGTGGTGGTTGGAGGCCACAATGGCCCTACCCAGGAAGAGGGAGGAGGTAATCTGAGCGATGCCTCCGATGTCTTCCTCAAAAATCATCCAAGGAGTCATAAGAGTCCGTGGGAACGTGCTGTGGCCTCTGGAGCTCATGGAGATGCCAGTGGTCACACTATTATCATCAGGGGGCAGACCAGAGAGCAGTGCAGTCTGTCCTCCACCAGGGAATCCAAGCCTGCAGCCTCCTTCGTGCTAAGGATTTCCTGTGAGCTGGAGACCTTGGTCTGGATCCAGAAGTTCTTGGGAGCAGTGCTGGTTACAGTGAATACAAATCAGATCCAGTGTCCTGAAAGCTGCTGCGGCTCTCTGGTCCGTGCTGCTGCTGGGCTCTCTGCTTCTGCCCATCTGCCTCGCATGCTTCCCGCTCCCTGTGCTGCCCGATGGGCTGCCAGGCACCGCGCGTGAGCAATGCAGCACAGGCTGGTGATCCTGACGCCCTGAGAGCCTTTTTAACTCAATCCACTAACTACATCCTGACCCTGGTCACTATAGGCTCATAGTCATCTAAGACTAAGTATGCATTTAGTCTACTTCAATGATCTGCAAGAGCTCGTACACTCTTCAAGTGCCCAAAGTTTTTTCTGTCACTCAAGACAATCTCTTCATTGCTGCATCTTGTAAAATCAGAAAGCAAATTATATCTTCCCAACATACAGTGTCACAGAATACCCCTTCTCATTCCAACAGAGAAGAATGTGTACATAGTGAGGGAAGATTGGACCCAAGCAAGAAACCCAGAGGGCAAACACCAAATCATGCAGGTGTCTCAGACACAGGGGCCCTCAGTTTCAAAAGGCCCTATCCCTGCAACTTCTCAGGCATCTCTCAGTTTAGTTTCTCCCTCTCCCTATATGTAGCTCTCCATGGCAGGCGTTTCACAGCTTAGGTATCAACATCTTGTGGTCTCAAAATGCAACTCAGGCTCCATCCTCACAGGTTCATGCAATGCTCTCTCAGTGTCCTCCCTCACTGGGGCTCTGACTCTGCCAAACACAGACAGCTGGAACAGTGCTGAAGGGAAACCACAGGAGAATAATCTGTGACCTTCAATTTTGTATCTTTCTTGTTTCCAGAACTTGGGTGATCCTGCCAAGTTTGGATTTTGTATGGATCCTGCCATGTTTGGACCACAGTTGTAGCAGGTTTTTGATGAAGTCCCTTCCTGGGACTAGGAACCGCTTTGCCTACTCCCCCTTCCATTAACTGAAGGCCTAGCAGGAGGAAGTGTTTCCCTTAATTCACCTTCTTAGGCTTCCAATCCTGAGCAAGGACCTTCTCTTTAATGGTGATAATCTCTTTGAAAATTCATGCCTGTCTCAGCATTTGGCTGCCATCTGAAACTACCCAGTGTTGTTTTTCTCCTCAAACCAAAGACTTTGCATTTATTTCTGCCTCCTTTTCTTTCTTTTCCTTCCTTCCTTCCTTCCTTCCTTCCTTCCTTCCTTCCTTCCT